CTTCTGCCCCCCACAATTTCCGCTTACATTAAAATATTTGTTGAAAGCAACATAAAGGAAAAACTTATAAACATAAGTATCAAAATTCATAGTTGCGCAAAAAAGATTGAAGTTGCTCAACAATTATTAAACTCTAGTGTAAAACGTGCAAAAGACTCTGTGTTAATTCAAATTCAGATCTCAATGAAGTAATAAAAGTTGTTTCATAATGGAATTTTTGTCTTTACTTAGGAAAACTAAAAAAAAATTATTATAATTGACTTCCATTAGATTGTACTGTTTCGTTAAAGTATACAAAGTAGAGCATTTTTCTTTTTCAAATGTATATTCTTTACTCCGCTTTTTAAACTCAGACAAAAACCATTGGATGTTTGTTAAACTAAAACATAGATAGAAAAAATATTGACCTAGACAGGAGACAAAATGTTTTTTTTTTAAATTAAACTTTTGCAAAAGTTAAAAACAATCAGCCCAAAAAAAGTTTTAGATCTTTGTTAATTTTTTCAACTAAACGCTTGAAAGATCTGTTTTCTATTAAACACTTTTTGTTTTTCGTATGAAATTATTAAAACAAATACTGAAATCTAATTAGTTTTTGAAACAAAATACCTTGACTTATTTCATAAAATGGTTCATTAATTGTACTTTTTGCCAGTGAGCATTATACCTGAAACACAATTGCGCATATAGACGACAAACTACAATGGTGTTTTTAGGGAATAGAAAATTGATGAGGTTTCTCGTACGAAAAAAAATGTTAATTTTGAAGCCAGAACGTTTTTGCCTATCGGTCGATGGTTCGAACATGAGGAGAGGACATAAACATTATTTCAACCAGACTTATAAAAAGTAAGCGGGAGATTTTTCCAATGATTTTGAACAGCTCGCTTCGCAATTTTTTTTGCTTGTACCTTAATAAAACTAATCATTACGGGAGCACAAGCTTTTTATAAATAATTATTAGTAACAACTTTTTTATATATAAAAATTCTAAGGGGAGCGGTGGTGAAGTCGTTTTTTCTCCGGTCTCTCAATCAAAGGGTCAGTGGTTTGAGGCCCACCATTATCCAAGCGCGTTGCTTGAGTGTTATACCACATCAGTCAGCGCAGAAAATTAACCAAATAAGGGCACGGAATTTTAAAGCAGGGATGCAACAGCGGTTCTCTTCGTGATCAGTTGGACAGCTAGTATTTTTGTCCATTCTCCTGTGAATAAAGGACCTTAATCAGATAACAACACAATTTGAAAAAACTTTTGTGGAAAAAAGCAACCAGACAGGAAAGAATAGCCATTTCAACCAATTACGACTGCCAGAGAAGGTGCTGGGTCGACTGAATATTTTAAAGTTTCTATTATCTAATTAACACAGCTCAGTTAAATAAAAGTCTAAATAACTCAGCTCACTTCGAACCAACCAATTAAACAAATCAATATTTTTTAGGAAAAACTTTTGAATCCATCTATTGCTAAGTTAATTTCAAGAAGGATTGTCGAAAGATTCCCGAAGGATCAAAAACGCAAAAAAGATTGAATACGCCAATCTCATTTCAATATTCATATATTTGATAAATACTTCTAGCAGTTTAATTGGCTGATATTGACAGAGAATTTTCCCTCAATTGCTTCTCTGCGCTCGATAACGTCCTCGATTGCTTTTCCACCAAAAACAGTCAATTTCTAAGGTTTGGCAAATGCATAGCACCAGAAAATATAATTGAACAAAGAAGACAATTAACGGAAATTTGACACGAGCTTAGAAATCATTCTCTCGTCCAAAGAAAACCTCCATGTACGTCCCCAATTCGTAGTGATTAAGTTTCCTGTTCCAGCAATCCCATGGGAAATGAGGGTGGGGGAATGTGGAAGAGTTACACTCGCTTTGTGGTATAGTGTTGTAGAACCGCCTCTGACCACCCCCAACAAAAATGAACCCCTTTCTCCAGCATCTTATTTCTGTGCCTCGGGGAAGGAAAACTGAGAACTACAACGCGGATGCTATTGACAGATTTTTTTGTTCCGACCGTTGAAAATGGGCACGAAATTTCTATTCGGTCTTTTTTAGTTTTTTTTTTTTGCTTTTTGTTTGCCACGCAAAATCAAGTACTACAAACAATGATCGGACTGGGTTGAGTGATATACCATATTAAAGCACTTTCAGTTTGGCTTCGAACGACATAAAAAAATTTCTTGTGAAAATTTTTTCACAGTCTTAAGAAAAAAAACCGGTTTAAAATTTTTGCTTTCTGGTCTAATTTCGAGCTAATAAGGTGACCGTGTAGGATGACAGTGTAACATTTAAGCATAATTTAGGCCGTGAAAGTTTAGTTTTACTCAATTACGTTTAGCTATTGGGGTTTTTAGCGCATTTTTGGTAAACAAAAACTTGAAAACTCAAAACATTTCGGCAAAAAAACTGAAAATTTTTTTTGAAAATTTTTCATTTTTTTTCGTTTTTCTACCCAGTTTTCTTCAAATAATGTTTCACTGTTGACCTATTTCACTATGATTTTCAATTGTCCTTTTTTCCTTTAGATCTTTTTATCTAAACATGCAGAAAAAAAACCTCACCAATTTGAAAACATTTTTTGTATTTTTTAAGACTGTCGTCGGATTATTCTGTGCTACTTGCACAGTAACTGGCTATCCTTGTTTTATAACGTTTTGAAAAAGTACATTTTGAAATAGCCATTTCTGAAAAAATTTAGCCCAGCCTTGCATTTTTCTGCACGCTATCCCTGTTAAAATTAGAACTTCGATTATACACTTATATAATTATATATCAACTTATGCTCTTCCATAAATACCTTTTTTTAGAACTCAGGTTTACAAAACCGTTTTTATAAATGTTTTGAAACCTTTGACTTACAGTTGAAATTTTTCAGCGCGCACTCCCTATCACAATTACTATCTACAAAAAAAAAATCTGTGTAAGCAAAACGAAAAACAAATCTGCAAAGCAAAGTTTGAATTATCTGTTGCTCAATAAGAAACTTTCACAATCTTATGAAACAAATAAAACAAATATTGAAACCAAATTACCAGACTTTGATTTCAAATTGAGCATTATCCGTGAACATTTATTGCGCATTTGACGGCAAACTCAAAAAACATGTTTTCCTAATAGAAAGTCAATTAAGCATTACAACGCCAAGTTGTGCATTTTGCGCAAATATAGGTGAATTCCGCAACAATCCAAAAACAGATTTGTCGCGCAATTCACAACATTGCTACTTGTCTTTGATCTTTTTTGCTGTTTTCGATTCCAGAAACAAATAACTAAAACACTATGCCGATCAAAATCATTATAATAATAGTGTAGTTTGTGGAATCAACAACAATATTTGAGGAAGCCGGAATTGTTTGTCGTATCTAAAAACAAATAAAAAAAATAAAATTATAGAATTGTCTAACAGTTCAACCTTTTTTACTGACAATAGTTTGAACCTACTAGTTAAATCTCAAGCAAAAAAAGATTGAACCTTTCCTATCTCAATTGATGAAGGAATGAACTTTTTGCCGATCACAAATACAAAAAAAACATCTTTCCTATCTGAAATACTGAAAGAATAAACAGTTTTCCTATTTCAAATACTGAAAGATTGAACACTTTTCCTATTTCGAATACTAAAAAAATGAACAGCTTTCCTATCTCAAATACTGAAAAAAAATAAGCTGAGGTAAACCATTTCATGGGTTTTGATGCTTAATTATAAATTTTTCAATTTATTCTAGACCTTAAAGGGTTACATCCACAATTTTAATTGAACAATGATTCAAGATTTGTTATTGGTTTCCACCAACAATAGTTAATTTGTTTCTTTTAAGTTCACAATTTGGTAGATAATAATTCTAGCTATAGTTCTCCATTGTTCACGCAAGGACTGTTTCAGTTCAGTATAACAAACAAAACTATATTATATAACTTATATTTTGGAATCCGCGTAAACTAAGGGAATCCGATTACATTTTGCGGATTCCGCTTACAGTTGCGGAACCCAGAACAACTAGCTATATCCGCTCAATGCGGAATCCGCGACAAAATTAATGTGCCGACAATTGTAAGCTAGAGGTATTTGTAGAAAGAATTCACGGATGTTTTGTAAATGAAACTCATTTACATTTTGAAACATGTTTAAAATTTTGTTTCCGGAGTCCAGGTACATACAGACACCAAAATGTGCGCCTATCCAAGGCACAGTTTGGCCTGGTAATGAGTTTAGAATGAGAAAAAAATGTTAATTTTTCAGTCACTAAGATTTTTGCCTCTCCATGTATATATCATTAACACTTTTATATCATAATCCTGTAAGGGGAGCGGTGATGGAATGCTTAAGTCTCCAGCCTCACAATCAAAGTTTCAGTGGTTTCAGGCCCTCTATCATCCGTGCTTGTTGGTTAAGGGTGAGGGAAAATTAATCAGCGCAATAAAACTACCAAGAAAACTGCAAGTATATCTTAACAAGGGGCTCAAATGTGGTTCTCCGTGAATAATTGAACAACTTGTATGATAGTTTTTCCCTTTTGCACAAATGGCCTTAATCAAAAATTAAAACTAAATTAGAAAACTTTTACTGGGAATATGGCAACTAGAAAGGAAAGAATGGCCGTTCCAACCACATAATACCGTAAGAGGTGGAGGTTGAGGCCATTGAATTTCTTTAACTATCTATTTTAAAAGGGGTCTAACAAAATCGTTAACTAAATAGCATGAGTAGATTGTGATAAAAATTACTTCGAACTTGATATTTGCAACGGTCAGTTTAATGTTTTCATGTTCGCTAGCTTCAATTCTAAATTGGGCTCAGTTCAATTCAAACCAACCTATTGACCAAGTCAACTTCTTTTAGTCTTTTAGAAAAAAAAACAATAAAAAAAAATATTTAATCCATCATTGCTATTTCGATCTGCGAATGGTCGAAAACAAAAAAAATGATTGAATCTGCCAATCAAATTTCATTACTCATAAAATCGATGCAAACTTTGAGCAGTTTTGCGGGTATTGATTGGCTGACAACTTTTGGGATTTCGGTCTTTCGCGCATGAGATTGACCTTCAATTTTTTATCACCAAAAATAGTCAATTTTCAGGACTTGGCGAAAGCATAGCACCAGAAAACACAATTGAACAAAAAGAAAGTCAGCGGAAACATGATACGAGCGTGGAAATCAATCCCTCGTCCCAGGAAAACCTTCCTGTATATCTCCACTCCATGATGATCAAGTTTCCTGTTCCCAGCACCCCCTTGGGAATTGAGGGTGGGGGAGGGTGGAAGAATGACACCCGTCTTGTGGTATAGAGTTGTCGAACCCCCTCCGACCCCTGCAGACGCAGTGCCTCGGGAATCGCGGGTGGGGGTGATACGTGTTTGGGGGTTAGTAGGAGGTGCTCTAGTGGTTGTGTTCTGGTTATTTCGCCTTGAAGATGAGTTGCGAAAAGCGAGCGAGTAGTCTGATGCTGAGAATGCGACCATAGCTAGTATGACGTAGATGAAACAAGCCCACAAGTAGATGTCAAGAAGACTCATTTTGATGTTGAGATACTTGGAGTGTCGATCTTGTTGTCTGTTAGTGTTCAAGGTCAACATCGTCAGAATCTAAAGCAATCAGTATGTGTAAGTGTAATCAGTCGACTCTGAGAAGTATTTTTTTAAAATGAAGTTTGAAACGATAAAATTGATGGTAATTTGATAAAAACGAGAACCTGTTTACAGATCAAATTAAATAAATTTTATGAAACCACAGAGTCTCAATCAACCCCATCCCAAACAACTCCACAGAAAAAAATATGAGCAAATTGTAGAAATATCACAGATTACTTCACCGCCGATAGTTCTTGCAAAAAAAAACTAAATTACTGAAGAAATTGCTGACATCGCAGCCAAAGCATATAGAAAAAAAAGTAGAAACGAGTCACAGAACCCCCCCCCCCCCCATTACACAGCTATACATTCCCTTTTAAACCCCCCAGCCCCATGTGCCATAGCATAGCAAGTAACCCCCTTCAAAAAATATGTCTCTAAATTGGTGCTATAGCTACCGTGGTGACTCCAATAGCGGCTCTGGCAGGTGTGGCTTGGGGGTTGATCCAGAAAGTGATCCAGGACAGTCCGACTAAGAAGGCGGCTGGGAGGAACAGTTGGTAGACGTAGACAGAGTAGAGTCTTCTGAAGTAGATCTGGCCCTGCAGGATGGTGTAGGTGGAGGGATCGTAAAAGGCGTCGTATTGGGATTGGGAGGTGTCGTTTAACTGCATCGTGAAGCCAGTATACTCGACGTCAAGGTACTCCTAAAGCATTGGAACAGCAGCGGATTGAACAGCTGGTTCAAAAAGTCGCCTGCTGCTCAGTAATTTTGGTCTAAATAGGGTTTTTATTGTGGTTTGGGAAGGCTCGGAAAATCAACTTGGTCTCGTAAAAAAAGTCGAGAAAATCAGGGGCGGATCTAGAATTATCTCAAGGGGTCCAGAGCAGGATAAAAACTTTGTTTGGCGAGGAATTCGAATCCCAGAGGGGAGGGGGAGAAGCGTCCGCCAATCCCCATCCTCTAAATTGGCCCCTGCATTAAATTACATAATACTAAATAACTTTTTTTTTACAAGAATGGAGCAATTTGTATTTTATTTAACAAATACATCCAAAAAAAAACATTTTGGAAAAACAAAGGGCCTGTTAGCTGCCTATCGAGTGGTGTCTTCAATATAAAATTAACAATTTGACAAAATGCTGAGAGGAGGGAGAGGGGGAGGGAGAGGGGGAGGATGACGCGTACAGAAATTCTTTTTCCCTTGCCCTTCACCAAATCGGCACCTGATTGTGCTGTAAGTAATAGCTTAGTTTAGTCTAGTTGTCATCATCATCTTCTAGACTTCAATTATTTATATAGCTAATTTTCTTTTTTCTATTTTGCAACGTATTGCTAGCTTCTTTTCAGTAAAGTTGACTCTTGAAATATTTTCTGTCTTTGCTTTTGGAAAAATTATGCCATTTGTGATCCCCAGCAAAAGAATTTCAAAAGCATTGAGTCATAAACAATTTCATTGATAAGGAATTTCCTGTAACGATCGGAACATTCGGTAGTTCCGATTCTCAGTGGTAACTAACCTTAGTGAATAGTATGTTGTGATTGTTGTCCCTAGTGAAAGAGATTTCAAAACTATTGAAAAAGCAACAATCTCAATGATTGTAAATTAGTATTGAAGATCGGATCATTCTGTAAGTCGTTTGCTTTAGGAAACAGTATGTTGTGTTCATTGGCCCCAGTGAATAGTATTTTGAAATAAACGAGTCATCAATAGAGTTAACACTTTCAATGATGGCTTATCGGTAGAGAGGATCGGAACATTCTGTATCTTGTTTGGCTGTAACAGATTTTGTCCCGTTTTAATTTCAACAAATTTCGTCCCATTTCAAAGCGTACACAGATTTAGTCCCACAAATTTGGATATGGGACAAAATTTGTTAATTAAATAAATAGGACGAAATCTGTAGTAGGACGAAATCTGTGCCAATCATCTTGTTTACCTTAGGGAATAGGATGCTGTGTTCATTGGCCCAGTGCAGGTTGATATACTTGTTGGAGTATCCGTAGCTGGAGAGCAGAACACTGCAGTAGATGGTGTCGAAGGGGTACATGAATGCATTGGGCACACAGGGCACTGTCACTGTCACCTTCTGATCGAACAGCACTGTCCCATTTGAGATGATCAGGTATTGGCTAAACATTAAAAGCCTGGTATAATAAAGAAAAACAATCCATTAAACTCCCGGTAGAGTTTGTTAAGGAACACAGAAGATCGTGTAATGGTTATTAACAGAGTGGTCTAATGGCATTCAGCCCCCCCCCCACCCTACACACACACACACATTTTCTTCCAAACTTCTCTGACTCAAAAAAGTCCCGTATCGAAATTTATTTAAAAAGTGCAAAGTACGCTAAAAATTTACTACCGCATCTGGAATAAATTGAAAAAGTGTAAAAATGAGACTTAGGATTATCAATCAAGTAATGACTTAACATTAATCAAGTATTGGCTAAATTAATGTTTTTGAATGTTTTATTATATCCTCAAGATCTTCTTTTGCGCTAAACATTTCAGACTCTTTGCACTTTACGGAGTCGCGAAACTCATCAATTTTAATACTTTTTTCACCTCAGCTTACAACATTAGTCAAATGTTTAACTTCATTAGCGAGGCATTTTATTTTGACAGCCACCATTTACTGATATCTTCTTGAATTTTTCTTTGCGCTTTTAACTTTTCTTCGTCTGCTTGTTTTTCTCAGCTTTTTCTGGCTCCTCCTCGACGTTCGTTAACCTGCTTTTTGATAGTTCAATTTATAAACACGCAATCACAATTTTTCAAACAAATTGAGAGTCTTCTGAATGCAATGAAAGTGTCAAAACTCTCGTTGTTGTTCCGCCTTTCGAAGAAAGTAAGGAATATATATGCTCGGGCTGCTTTTTTTATTCAGACCAGTTCTCAAAAATATTTCCCTCGGGGGTTCGATTCATGGATTTTCGTAGTCCCAGAATGGGCGCGCTAACCGGTAAACTTTCTTGTCTTAAAGACGCCTGTGAAACGCTCACTGATAGACTAAAAGAGAACCCAAGAGCGTTGGGATACTTTGATGCTGAAAGTTTGAGGCTTATTATTTACGCATGGCGAATTACCCCGCACAAGAAAATCGTTCCAAGTTGAATTGAGGGAGGTTAACTGGTCTTATTATATTATATAATCCATACACCGTTCTTAATATTCAGCTTAATATTCATACTTTGTCAATCTTTCCTTAACCAAAATCTATTCGAGGCCAGTTTATGGACAGTCAAAACATTCAAAGTGTTGCCCTGATACGAGCAGTCTTGTTGTCGATCGTTAAGCGTTTGAGAAGCCATTCTCAAAATTCGCGTTCATTTGGATAAAAATTAAAACATATAGAGACTATCAAGTCTATTGCCAGCCGCATCAAAGCCTGTCATCAAGTCAAATGATCAAATAAATACCAGAGAAACTGTTAATATATCAAGGCAAAGCCTTGAATGATCCGACTGCCCCTTAATTCATATCGAGTGGATTTTTGGGAAAAGAAAATCGTGAATAGTATAAATTTTGGAGAAAATCAAATATCATGTGAAAAAATTTGAGTAATTAAAACGACCAACTAGCTAGCCTCAATTCAATTTGGAACTATTTTATTGTGCGAGACTCGCTACGCATAAATTGTTCGGGTTACGCCCGTTACAGGATTATGGATTGAAACTTCAAAGCGCTCATAAATTAGCCCAGAGTGTGACAAAATTGGCAATTTTCAAAGTGATAAAACTTGCAAAAAACTATCGAAGGTAAATCATCTTTAAATTTTATTTCAAAGAGTCGATATCTTCAATAGAGCATTTTTTTATTCTGTTAAATACTGTTATATTGATATTCAAATATTGACAAAAATCACAGTCCGACCATAGTCTTTAATAAAAAATTACAAGATAAAGCTTTTTTGTTTGAAATTAATTTTCTGCGTGGGCTGATAAAAAAGTCGGAAGTAAAACTATAAATTAGGCATACTTGACATTCATAGTAATTCAAGTCAATAAAACACAATAATTTTCAGAAAATTTACATGAAAAACAAAAATAAAAAAATCAAAAGATTTTCCAATTTTTATGAATTTTTCGGTTTCCAGAATGGAGTTACAAGGCTCCAAACATTATTTTTACTTGCTTAAATTTTAAATATCTTTTAATTAAGCTGTTGTAAGCCTGCTCGCCTGCTTACAAACAGCTTAAAAAAAAACTTGAATAAAAAAAACTTGAATATGGACGAAAAATCAAAAACTTCAAACCGGTTTTTCTCAACAGTGAAAGGACTTCAATATGATTTATCACTCAACCGAGTCCAATAATTGTTTGTGGTAGCTGGTTTTTGTGGAAAATTAAAATAAAACTAAAACACACCCGAACACAAAGTGCCTCCCCATTTTTAACAAAAATTGGTTCACTTTGCAGCAAGAGCATCTGACTCTTGAAGATATCGCTGATAACATGTTTTACTGTGAATATGGCCTTAGTTCTGCCAAAAAACAACTTAACAGCTATTGCACTGTGTTAAAACAGGTACCGCGACAATTCCCTAGAAAAGACAACTCGCAAAAAAAGACAACTTGCAAAATTTAAAGAAAGTAACAACTCACAAGTTTTTGAAGCTAATTGGAAACTTTATATTCTCGGATTAAGGTCGCCGGCTCTAAATTTTGTATAAAGTCCTACCCTCTGTTGGCAAGCTCGCAACACGTTAGCGCGACTGCGGCGGTGAGTTTATTGCGAGTTGTCTTTTAATGCGAGATGTCTCTTTTATTGCAAGTTGTCTTTTCTTGCGAGTTTTCTAATTACGTTTACAACAGTTTATTGAAAAACTCACTGGTAATCATCTACACTATCGAAAGAAGCTTTCGAGTTTATAGTGTTCGTAATATGGAGAATTTCTGCTTTCCGTGTCTTATCATTCGGTTTTTCTGGCTAACACTGGTGCCATTGCCTTAAGTGACTGCAATGGTGTAAAATTTCTTGCATAGAATAAATCTGAACTCACAAGCAGCAGTTGACACAGCAGTCAAGTTAAATCTCATCATCTGTTAGCCAGCTTAAATTAAAGACGTATTTACAATCGCATGAGCGTTTGCAACTCATACCCTAGAAAATGTAATTGTGATTGACGGAAGCTGAAAAAGCGGAAGCTCTTAAAAACACCAAGCTTTTGAGATTGAAAAAACGAGCGGACACTAGCAGCGCCTTCACACACTGGTGATGACACGGGTTCACTCGCCCTGACGGATTTTGTTAGCCTCGACATGACCCTGAGGGTCTAAACCGCCCTGAGCACGTGGCGTTTCTGGTAACGCAGGGGATCGAATACATGTTCTAGCGCTCTCAAAGTGAACGTCTTACCAGGCTAACCACTCTGATAAGTTTCTGAAAACCATAGATCATGCAATTTTTTATCAACATGATCAAGTATTGGCTATTCTTAAGTCTTTGCAATGAATTGAGAAAAAAACAAAAGTCCAAAAAAAACAGAAATGATCTGAAATAAATTGATGATTTTTAAAATTAACTCGTTCAAGATAATAAATATTTGTTCAGGCACTAGCTAAAAACAATACAAGTAAACTTAACGACCAAAATTCGAACCGAGCTCTGAATTAGCAAGAAACTTCTCAAAAACGTCTCAGAAACTTCACATATCGCCTTTTTCAGACCATTTATTCACAAAGGAAAGGACCAACATACGAGCTGTACAGCTCATCACGGAGAACGGCTGTTGTTCCCCTGCTTCAGAACTAGATGAAAACTCTTAGGTAATCTTTCTGGGCTGGGTAAGGATGCTTCACCCTCAAGCAACGAGCACGGATCATGTTGGGCCTCCAACATGCGACCTTTCGGTTCAGAGGCGGAGACGTAGCCACTTCACCACTGCATTTACTCGATTCTCAAATGAACTTTCTGGTCTACAGTGGTGTGCACTTTCTGTGCTACTTGTCTGTATGATACATGCCTGGTTCTGGAGTAGTCGGTGTGTCTGGAGAGGAGGAAGTAGATGTCGGGAGTCCAGGCGTAGTCTCTGCTATCACTCCCACTGATGTACACGTCCCTGCCCCCCTCCCGCTCATCCGACCACACAAACTCCACGTAGAAATCTATAATAAAATAGAACTAGTGATAAACCAAGAATATCTAAGCAAATACAGATGGAAGAGTGTCAAAAGATTTTGGTGACGACATTTTTTCTTAATTCAAGTTCTTATTTTTTCCACAAATCTTATTTTCTATAGGGGTGGATGGAGGGGTGGCTGTGAGGGGTGATTTAGGAGAAAATTCATAATAACAAGACTGCTCGTATCAGGACGAAGCCATGAACGTTCCGACTATTTTTAAGGTCTATGGAGCAGTAATAACCTGAAAAAATTAAATGTAATAAAATAAAATGAAATTTAAAAAAAATCAGATTTTTTTTGCAAAAACATCCCCCCACACGCCATATTAAATACAAACTGATAGATTTTGCTCCTATTAACAAATCAATTATGGCATACAAGCTTCCTTGAACCCACTTGGAACAATTTCTAGACGGATTAAATCTCCGCTTACGCCTTAATAGCGCGAATTATATCGCGCGTTAATTGTCCCAAATTGGCCAAATTGATAATATTTTGGCCCCATAACTTTACGAAAAAAGATCGCAGGTAAAATATTTTTTTTAAAATTAAGCTCCGGTCAAACAAACTCATTCAAAAATTAATGATATATTAAAATATTTTGTCAAAACTGGCTAGTTAAAAAGTCGAAACTTGTCTGAAGAAAAACAAAAACCACACCGAGCGCAAACGTTCCGTTACTTTCGTTACGAAAGTCGGAACAACAAGACTGCTCTTATCAGGCCAAAACCCTGAGTGATCCGACTGCATTTTTGGTTATCAAAAAAGAGTTCACTTTAAAAAACGTACGAAACTTTCAAAGTTTTTTTTGAAAAAGTCCTCCACACCGTAAATACAAATTTATACAATTCGCATATAGCAAAACTTTATATAGACGGAAAAGCACGCCTCAATTTATTTTGGACCGATTCTTAAAACCGTTTAAGTATCCGCTTACGCGTTATTAGCACGAAATATATCGCGCGATAATTGTCCCAAGTTGGCCAAATTGGCACCTATAAACGCCCATAATTTTAAAAAAATGGTAAAAATTTAAAAATTTTGAAAATTGAGCTGAGAGCAACAATTTTTTTAATGATAAAAAAGTTCTGTCCAAAAATGTTAGTTAAAAGTTCGAAACCTGTCTGGAGAAAACGGCCACAAATATCAAAAACAAAATATTCCCTCATTTAATTCGAAAGTCGGGTTAACGAGACTGCTTGTTCCGGCTGCCTTTCAAAATCTTTGAAATAATTTTCGAAAATATCACAAAGGAAAAATTTGCAAAATTTTCAAAAATCATATCCCAACACACTATAAAAAGTACGAAGTGTTCTGTTTCGCATATAGCAAAATATTCAAATCACCAAAAAATTTGCCTCTTTTCAATTTGGTCCAATTTTTAAGACAAAATGAATCTTGGATCACACGTTAATGGCACGAAATTTAATCCGCGTTAATTATCCCCAACTAGCCAATTTAGCATAAATTGAACCCCAATAGTTTAACGAAAAATGATCTTAAGTAAACAATTTTTTTCTAAAATGGAGCTCAAGACAAAAATATTTTTTGGATGATATAAAAATTCCATTAAAAATTCCAGTCAAAGACCATAATCATATACGATTATTCATGAAGGTAGTTTCAAATTAGGAGAACATTTGTTAGGCCTATCAGGTTTTCTGCTATCTCTTTCCTTCGAACAATTGTATCTAATTTAGATATTTAAAAATTAATAATATTAATATATTAAACGTAATAATGTTTTACGCGTATTGAAATTAGTTTTTAAACATGGCTTACAGCAAAAATGTTTTCAACTAAAAAGAAGAAATTGAATTTATTTTTTTTTCGAATTAACGAAACTTTACAGCTACCAAAAAAATTTTTCTCATAATTATGTCATTACTTTTCATCCAGAAAATGTCTGCTAATCGTTGCAAATCAATATAATTAATATGGCCACATCGTTAGAACCTAAGTTTAACAGGCCCTAACCATTATTTTGTTGAGATAGCAAAAAAATTCAATGTGAACTCTACCCCAAGTTCAAATTCAACAACCTTGTCATTTCACATTTTCAATAAAGAATGTTTTCATTAATTTGACGCTTTCTAATTAATAATTTAATACTTAAGTACTGTAAAACTTTCTAATTTCTTTTGAGTCAATTGTTTTAGCTTTCCTGCTGAGCAAAAAAAAATAACATTTAATCAATTTAGTTTTTTTTTCATCGCAAAAAAACAGCTCATGGTTTTATTCATTTCGATTCGCAAAAATTGTAACAATTCAATTAGTTTTTGTGACAGGGACAAAAATTTGTTTCAACAACACATAATCCGAGGAGTTGACAAGATAATATTCAATTTTCACCTCTGGGCTTCAATCTCTCAGACTGACAACTTCAAAATCAGCTTTAAAAGGCAAAAAACCCAAACGACTTCTTTAATCTTTAAATCTTTTATCATTTTTCCTCCCATACGTCTGATCAGTTTTGAAAAGGTGAATCAAGACCATCTATCATACTTTGACTGTCTTCGAACTGACAAAAACTGAAATTAAGGTCTATTAAGGACCTTTTAAAAATAGTTTAGACAGACAAAAAAATCGTAGCCAAAAAATTGATATTGATGGACTTTTGCAAGATTCTAAAAGCCACCAAAGTCTCAACAAAATTGATTTGAATTGATTTTTTGGGTTTGTCCCAAAATTTGTTTAAAAAAATTGTAACTTTCATTTCAAATCATTTTGAATAGAACAGAACTTTTTTTTACTTCTCAGGAAAAATTATTGAAAAGCAGGTTTTGTGAGGAAACAAAATTGTTTCTCTAACTCATTGAAACAAAGTATAATTGAAAAACGCATTAAGAAAATTACAATTCTGTAATTAATGATTGAAAATTTCCCCATGGAATTAAAAACTTTTTTTTATGAAGTTATCGAATAAATTGTTGTATCATTTGAATATATGCTTTAGAGATTTATGCTATACAATTACGCTCTAAATAATAATAAGAATGACTAATTGCTTTGGAAGTAGCACAGAATGCTCGACCATTTTGTTCAAAAAACACATTGAACTATTTTTCAAGTTAGAGTCGTGGTGTTATAGAAGTATCGGACACAAACCTGCAACCTAGACAATTTTGAAAGCCGCAATAACATAAGCAAATTAGCAAATGACAAGAAAAAAATTTCAAAAAAAGCTAAATTATATTTTTTAGTCGTCACTAAAAAATTTTCAAAAAAAATGTTCTCGCTTTTCTCGCTCAAATTTGAATTGAAACTCAAAAATTTTGAGCCATTTTTTCTCGAAACTGGACAACTTTTTGAAGTTATTTACATGTCATTGGGATCAGGGCTGAAAATGCTTCAATTTGACATATCTCTTCACTCAGACCGATGATTTTTTGTAGTAACTGATTTGTTTGGAGTTTTGAAAATGGTTGCTTTCTCATTATGTTTGCTCGAAAAACAACAAAAATCAAAAAATTTAGACGGATTTTTCTTGATACTGAAAAAACGTTTGCAAATTTTTTAAATTTGCCCGAAACACGACTAAAAAGGCTTTAATATGATATTACACGGCCCATTCCGATGATTTTTATGGAACCTGACTTTGCGTAGAAAAACAAAATAAATATCAGAAAAAAAAGAAAAATAACTAAAACATACCCGAATACAAAGTTTCTCCCCATTTTCAATGGTCAGAATAAAACTGTCAAAACTACATGAAACAATTGGCAAAAAATTGTCGACACAAATGATCAATCTCTGGTGCGCTGCGTGTCTGTGCGTATGAATTCTAAGGTTTGTATATTGAAACTCTTTCTGGTCATCTAGTCACAGTCTGGAGATTAGTTTAGTTGCATAGGTTTTTTCATTTTAAAATGAAACATGTGCTTCGAAATTGGTATATATCTTATAATCATCTTATAATCAAACGCCCGAATAAAACGAAAGACCATCAAAGGATAAAAGGAAAACTCAAAAAAAATAATAAAACCCAAATGAACCGTGCTTTGTCAAAAACGCTATCTTTTTTTTAAATGGGCTTATGCTTTATTTTATACACTAGAAGCCAAAAACAATGTTTCCAGATAGACAATTATTGTTTGAGGTTTTTCTAGCAAACAATTGAATGGATGATAGGGTTGCTGAAGGCGGATAAATCAATGTAAAACAGAAATAAGTGATTAAACATATCCTATTATTGTTGCACTTTAACCGAAAGCTATTTTTTTTGGCTTTTATAATACTAATGAGAAGGATACTGTTATAGCTTTGTCAGGAAAAAAACCCCTTGCTATTAAAGCCCTCCAGTAGGCTAGATTTGGGTTAATTTTGAAAATAATGAAATTTTACGAAAAAGTTCATTTGATTACTTTTGCAGAAATCATAAAATATGAAAATATTTGCTGGTCTTTTGCCTTGATTTTTGCTGGCTTTGATTTTTTTGGTGTCTTCTTACCAAGTAAAAGTTTTCAAAACAACAGCAAAACTGCGCTTCAAAACAAACAGATGGCCCAAAACAAGCAGAGAAAAACGGTTGAAATGCCACAAAACTGAACTATTTGATTAAAATTATTTTTGTAAAGTTTGAGCTCAAGGCATCAATACTTTTTTAGATAGAAAACAAAAAATTTTGTCAAACACGGATAATTATAAAATCGAAGTTGGTTTGAATAAAAGCACCTTTACAAAATAATATATTTCATCAATTTTTGTCGCGCAAAATCAGGTATCACAGGAATCAAATATAAGTTGGAATGGGTCAAGTAATATATCATATTGGAGCCAATTCAGTTGTGATTTGGACTTTAAAAGGTTTCGAAAACATTCTTCCTGTGTTGAGAAAAGTTTGTTTGAATTTTTCGGCTTCGAGCAAATAAAGGCGAGCGAGCAGGCTTAAAATAACTTATTTATGCTTAATTTAAGCCGCATAATTTTAGTTTTAGTCGATTAAAAAATATTTTGGATTTTTTTGGATTTTTTTTTGCAAAAATTTGTGAATCAAAATCTTCAATTTTTCAAAAAAAAAATCTGTATAAAAGTTTGAATTTTTTTTTTGATTTTATGACGTTTTTTTTTTGTTTTTTCTAATCATTTTTTACAAACACTGTTGTCCAATTTGCTTATTTTACTATGACTGTCGCATAAGCCTGAGTTTAATTTTTTCGTTCTGTTCAATTTATCACCCCACAGAGAAAAAAAAAGGTACTATTTCGAAAAACACATTTTTCATTTTTTAAGACTATGTTCTGTACTTTGTGTGCTATTTGCTCAGTAACCGTCTATCCTTGTTGAATTTTAGAATGATAAGTTAAATCTGCCTTGAAAATCAATTATAATGTTTAAGATTTGCCGATATAGTCCATTAAAATCGATCAATTTTTTCCCAAGAAACTCTTTTACCTGAAGTTTGGGGTAACAGCCCAAGAAATTTTCAGAAAAATGTAAATTTGAAATCATTTTGAATAATTTGCAAGAAACTATAGAAATTGAATCAATTTTGAAAAATTATTTTAAATTAAGCAAAGTTAAAAAATTTTATTGAAAAAAAAACATTTCGGTGCTTCAATAGTTTGACGACATCGGCGGTTTTGCTTTATTGCGGTTTTGCGATGTTGCGTTACAAAAAAATTTAAATAAGGGGGAAAATTGCTTAAAGTCATTATGTCGAATCAGAAACGGGCTCATCTACCGCTTCCCGAAACCACCACCGACAAAAACTGTTTATGTGCGCAAACCAACGATGTTACATGTTTGCGAATTGGGAAGAGGAAACGTGTGAACTGAGCGGTTACGATGCGTGCCAAACTTTTAATTAATCAGGCAATCTTAACATGAGCTTCATTTGGTCAAAAGCACTTGAAAACATTTAAGAGTGGGGGGGGGGTGTTGCTGTAAAAACAGTTTAGAAATGTTACCTATGGTAGCGTCAACTCCGATCTCCCGGACACTTTCGAAGACCAGCTTCACAGACACATCAACCGGCATCTTCCGATTGTGAGGAAGTGTATTGTGTCGGAGGATTCGACTCCTGATTTGGTCTATGTGGGAGTGGTCTTTCAACTCCTGCTGCCACTTCGAATCCTCCGAGTATGAGTCATAGGAGGAGGAGGGGCCCCCCGAGGAAGGGAACGAGTAGGCATCTGAGAAGTAATCTACTCCCCCCGCGGCCGAGGGGTGGGGGATTGTTGACAAAACAGGAGACACAAGATAAATGGTCAAAAATAGATAATTTGAAAGAAAAAGATCTAATAAGCAAATAACATCCATTTCAAAATCAGAACTGTTTTTAAAGCATCTATGTTAAGTAATCAGTTATTATAACTACTGAGATAGCTTCAATACTTCAATAGGTATGCTTTTAGTAGGTATGTTTTTATATTCAAAAAATGCGCCAATAAATATTCGTTTGTAGTAGAGTAAAAAGCATTTGTTGAGACACAATTTTTTCCAAGAACATCGTAAAAATAAATTGAGCAGTAAAGTTCAAATACTTCTTTAGCGATGATAACCAGGCGTCCGTATAAACTTTGCTGCTCCGAAATATTCCAAGTTAATTTGCATTTAAAGATCTTTTTAATCGCCTAAGTATTACTTCTGGTGCGAGAACTTTAGCCGCCAAAGGTGAATAATTAATTTTTTTTTCAGACTGGATTTATCGGATGCTTTTTATGTCTGAAAAAAGAGGCGGACCACTTCAAATTGTCCTCTTCTCGATAACTGAAGGAGAAAATAACAGTTCTAGTTTTTTTCTAGTTTAAATGATAAATTGAACTCAATAACAGGAATTCAGGCAGTTGTTGTATCTTTCAATCCCAGGAATAAAATCACCTTTAAATCCTGCAAATATAAAGATTTTGTGAATTATCTCCATTGATAGCCAAATAATTATAAACAGTTATTGTTCCGACCACCACTATGGGGGAGGGTAGTAAGAAATTAGGTTGGGGGTAGACTTCCTTCACGCCCAATTAGATAGCTTAGAGAAAAGTCATGAGAGGTCGCTTTCTAAATACCGAGATTTTGCTTTAGAGAATAATTTTTCTGCTTATTTTTTGAAAACTTCGGAAAAAAATTATGGTCGGACCGTTCTGTACTAAATACAAGGTAACTGGATACTCTGCTTACCAATTATGGGTGGAATTTTCATTTTGAAATAACTTGAACGTCGTTTTTATATCTTATCTGATGAAATTATACTCTAAAATTTATTTTGATTGAAACGAATGAAAACAACAGAGCCAATGAGAAACAAATAAAAACTAGCATAAAATGGTATAAGTTCAGTTTAGGAAACGGTTTACAGTCGCGTCGCCATTTTTTCTTGTGCACTTTTTTTGTGTTTTACAATTGTTACGCAATTCTTTTTTGATTGGTCCTTCGTACTGATAACTTAATTACAACGCCCTTACCCAATTGGCTACCAAAAATGAATTGAAAGTGGGATTAAAAGATTAAATATTCCTAGACAAAACCTTAGATTAAAGTTTTTACATTTATGTTTAAGTAGTCTCTATTTGTCTACAAAAACGAGTATATCAATCTCGCTTATCCGCTACTAGACATGAATTTTATTAACTACTCCATCCCCCACCCACATTTTGATACCCCACCCCCCATGTGGTAACCAGTGAGTTATTTAGGCCCCTAGAAAAAACCAATTACACAACCAACCACATGCTATTTCTGTAGCTGATAGCAATCCCCGCTTCGCAGTAGATAGAAACAAGCCCATAACGGCAAGCCTATGAAATTAATGAATCGTAGACAAAAATATACCGTTAGAGGAACTTTACCTTGAAATAATTACTGAAACGAGATTAAATTTTCAAAAGTATGCTGCAAAACAATTGAATGATTTTTGAGAAACTGACGAAGTATCACAATTGGTAACAGTTTCCAAACCAGAACTGAAACCTTTTTGGATTACGAAATCACAACAGCATGTAATTCACAGACGGCTTTATTTAATAATTTAATCATTTTCCATTAATTTTTCAAACCCATTTCCTTTTTTGGAGGTTTTAAAAAGAAAACAAGCGAAAAGAAAGTAATCAAAAACAAGAGGCTTATTACAAGGAAATAGGTGGGCAAAAATGAAACGTATCAACAGAGAAAATCAAAGCCAATCCTCAGTTTTTTAATCAATTCATGAGATTTCCGAAATCAGGACTAAATTTTGCAAGTCAGAATCAATTTGTGGTAACTTCTGAGCCAGTAGTAAGGGGCAGGTTCACAAAGTCCAGATCATTGAACAATCCCGAATCGAGATTTGCTTAATTTATCTTGACATTTAGGCAAATTTGGACGGATTTTGCTTCAAAAGGGGGCGTAGAAAATAAAAAACAAGGAGCGATGTTGTCATGGGCTGTTTGACCTTTAACAACGACGGCACTAACGAAAAAAATAACAAAATTGAAACTGGTTAATTTTTTTGAGGCAGAACAGAAAGAACGGTTGCCACTAGCCTCAGTGATCTGAGAACACAATGTGGTTTTTGAAAAATATTACAAAATTTATTGGGAAGACACCTATGTTTTCGAAAAAAAATGCTTCTTTTTTACGGATTATTTAAAAAAATCATAATAATTATATCAAAAATATTTCGTTGAATGTGAGCTTTAATCAAATGTTTTTAAAGAATCAATTTGTGAATAAATTGACCCAGCCATGTATGAAATCACGAGACCTAAATCGAATACAATTTTTTTATTCCGATTTTTTGAACTATCCAAATTAAATCAGAATCAGTGAAAAAAGACCTCATCAACATGATAGTCCTCCAGCGCCACTTGTCTCGGATTATCTTCTGTCAAGTAACAATCCGCATTTCGTTTTAACTCCCCAGTGGTCGGAGCGGCCAGAGCAAACAGGTTCAGCGCAAAAATGATACCAATTGCGCGCTCTTTTGCCCCCCCCCCCACCTCAATTTTGTAGTGTAATAGGGGTTTTAGCAGTAAGCTTACTAGTGTGAAAAAGATTAATTCAGCAATGTAAATTCCAAATGTAAATAAATCAATCAACTGTATGTTGCAGAACTTAAAGCGTCAACTATTTCAGCACCACTGGATTTTGACGTTGCCGTTGGGAGGTATCAATCAACTGACCATCAAGGTCAAATGCCAAGAACGGACTGTAGACTAAAAACAATCATGAACTCAAATAAGTATATATGACGCTAGTAAAACTTTGCAGATGGCGGGCGAAGGAAAAAGAGCCCAATTGCGTTTTAAAATGAAAGTTTAAACTGAAAAAAGTGTTAAAAAACAATCCTAAGCAAATGCGGATTTACTGCAACTAAGTTCTATATGATCTAACAAGTGTAGTCGGTTTTTTGCAAGTAGCAGAGTGTGCTCCAACTTTAGCCTTAAAAATACAAAATCGAAAAAATGTTTTTTTTTTCTTCAAATTGAAGTATATTATTCTGCGTGGCGTGATAAAAGGATCTGAAGGTAAAACTTAAATTTTGGCATTTTCGACAGTCTTAGTAAAACAGGCAAATTGGACAACAATTTTTTCAGAAAAATGGTTTAAAAAAAACTAAAACGACTATATATGAAAATTTAAAAAAAATACAATTTTTTTTTTCAATTTTTTTGCAGAAATTTTCTTAAAAGTTTTAAAATTTTTGATTTCCAAAAGGCGCTTAAAAATTCTCAAAAGTACCTTCACTTGTGTAAAGTAAGTTTCCGGGGTTTAAATTAAGCGAAATAAGCTACTTTAAGCCAGTTCGCTTACTTTATTTGCTCGAAATTGAACTGAAAACCAAAAAATTTAAACCATTTTTTCTCAATACTGGGAAAACAACAAAAAAAAAAAACACATTTTACCCAAATACAAAACTCCTCCCCAATTTCAATGACCGGAAAAAGACTGCTCTTAAATAGTGGCCCTGAGATTGGATGAACCCAATGTGGGAACTTTTTTGTGTTTCAGCTAAACAGATGTAGGTTTTCAAAACTCTCACAGAAAGCGCAAAAATCTCAAGAAAAGCTAAAAATCGACGTCGGGTATTGGAAAACTTTGAAACCAGTATAATTCAGCTCCTATAATTCAGTTTCTATAAATAATGGCGGGTTTTTGGTTATGCGCAAAAGTAATTTGGCCAATACGAAAGTCTAACGACTTTGTTAGGGGTCGAAATCATTCATCATTCAGTCCCTCTATCGTGAAAATACCACTCACTTCTCCTAAATTAGGGTGGAGCCCTGAGTGTTGAAGCTGCACTTTAGGACCATAGGATCACTTAAAAATCCTCTACAGGCTATTGTAATCTAAAAATGGACGCATTAAGCGTCTCGATTGCTAATATTGAGAAAATGCATTTGTCGCAATGCTATTAAGAATCCATTAATGCGCATTTTATGCGTGTCATAAGACAGCAAATCATCCCAATTTGCTGTCTTATGATACTTTTTTAACCCCAGCATTTTTGTAAAAATGATTACAGGTGAAACTATATTTTCATATTTGAGTCTAAGTTAGCAAAAATTTTCAGTTTGTATAGAAAGTTTCACACAAAAAAAACATACTTAAGAAGTCGAAAATTGAGTGAATACAGAAAAAAATACAGGCAAAAAGATTCCCATTTTCTTCAACAGACTAAACAAAAATGCTTGCAAAATGGCAAACATTTGTCTCATCCAAGGTTCAACTAAAATATTGACTCTTCCAAAGTACAATTTTGACCCAACAAATTTTGACTCATCCAAATGTCAACCAAATTTTTGACTCCTTCAAGGGTCAACCAAATGCGCAGCAACCATGAACTCATCTGAATGCTTTCATACAGAAAAACGCCAATTTTCAATATTACATTTTTTGATAGATTTTTTAAACTAATTTCTCATTTTTACCACTTTTAGAATATTCTCTAAAGCGCAATATCATGTACATAGTGATAAACTTTGCGTTAATTTTTCAACTAAATGAACCAAATTTGCCACAATTCATTTTTAAATGATTTTTGAGGTGAGTTTTTCTACTGATAGAGAACTTTGAATATATAGTACAATATGTTAACTGGTAACTTTTAAACCCCTAAAAACTAACAAAAGTTACTGCAGTTGAACAACTTTTATCATTTTCAACTCAGGGCATCAATATAGTCCATTTAGTTTTTCAAAAAAAAAAGTTTCAAAAATTCTGACAAAAAAATTACACAGAGAAGAAACATTTTCTTTTTTTTTGTGAAAATTGGCAAAAAAAGGCTATAAAATTTCTGATGGCCTTCAGTTTGTCTCAAGTTTTCAATCTCAGAAAAATATCCAAAATGAAGTTTTGATACATTAAGTTGTATGTTACACAAGATACATAAAATTCTATCTTTTCTATACGATTTCCGTCCAGTAAAGAATGGTACAATTAACTTGTCTCAATTGATTTGAGAATGCTTATGTGAGCACTGACTAATTCGCCTTTTACGCATTAATCGTTAGAAATACATGGGTATGAAGCGTGCATAAATAAGACCAGCAAATTGGCAAAATTAACAGTTTTCAAAGCCGTTATTTTTACTCTAAAACTACGTCACTTGAAGTACCATTTTAGTTTTATGCTTAGATGAATTTATTTTTAAAGGTGGTTAAAAATAAGCTAGTCAAAAATTGTCAAAACGGCCGTTTTGGTAGTTTAAGTTTTCCTAGAGAAAAAAAACGCGCAAATAAGCGAAAGTCGGAACAATAACCTAAAAGATTCTACAAGCAACCTTGTGCTTAATTCAGCAAAGACTGTAATACATTGCCAACCCTATAATGAACTAATTCAACGGTTAAGCATATGTGAATTCTGTGCCTAATAACAAATCTCCCCCTTTTGAGAAAAGGTGGAATTGTTGAGAA